GTGGTGGATGTTGGTGTTTGAGTGCATTGCCTGATTGCAAGAGGAGGAAACAAGGAATCTTTCCCCTCCCCCCCCAAAAAAACAAAATTAAATCTGTGGCTTACTCTGGCCCCAGTGCCCACCTGATCTCAACCCTGCTGCCAAGTCCTGTTCTCCATCTCTGCCAGTCTCTATACCTTATCTTTCATCCCTGCTTCCTAATCCATTTTCCCTCACATAGCTTTGTGCTCACCTAAGAAGGGAAGAAATGAGGCTGGAGAGGAGCTTTAGGGAAAAGAATGATCCTCTGGTGAATCATAGGAAGCTTGTTGGAGTGCAGCTTCTCTCCAGCTTTTTCTCCCCTGGCATCTTTCCTTCCTCAGTGGAAACTCCACAGTTTCTTCCATCAGAGGGTCTGTGTCACACATATACACTCTCCCTCTATACCTCCCCCATTTATTCCTACTCCCCCTATGACTTCCCAAAATATTTTCTACATCCTCCCCATCACATGCACCTTGCTTTCTCCATGGATTCACTCCTGTTTCTCTAATACAATACACACACAACCCACGCCAATCCACGAATGCCTCTGGACAGCTCTCGTCCCCCCTCCGTGACCTTCCTCATACAGCCCTGCTTATCCTACCCCCAAGCACTCAAATGCAAAGCCCAAGCTTCAACCTCATATTTGTTAATGTACAAATAACACATCACAGACTTTTTCACTACATGCATGTCCATACGAACTATATCGTTATCTGAAGACAGTTACGGTTTTGCGTTTCAATGTAATTGTGAGGTACTGGATATGTGCATTGTGGTGTGATTGTGTGTTGCAATTGAAAAGGAGTCTGTTGTACATCTCTGGAATTTATTGTTATGCTTGAGTATGGTAATGTTGAAGTTGAAGGTGCTGTGGCTGTTGATACTGGCTTAACTAGCAATTGTTCTGATTTTTAGTGATTGGGTTGTTAGTAAAGGTTGCTCAAGTTAACTTCCTAAATTAACTAGGTGTGTGGGGATGGGGTGGGAGATAATTAATTACAGCTCATTTCATTTATAGCAGAACACATGAATTGGGTATGGGGATTCTCCTTGTTAAATATTCTGAAGCCTTCAGATAGTTGGAGTTTTAGATAATTGAGAGAGCCAAACTGCCAGGCCTGGAAGCCTGTATTCACACCAGCTCCCATAATTAGAAATTATTTGATTATATGATTAGATTAGCAAGATAAGGTGGTTGAGGTAATACCTTTTATTGGACTTACATCTGTTGGTGGGAGAGAGAAACTTTCAAGCCAGACAGAGCTCTTCTTCAGGTCTGGGAAAGATACTCTGAGCACAACAGGTAAATGCAAGGTGGAACAGATTGTTTTAGGATTGCCAACTTTCTAATGCCTGAAAACCGGACCCCCTGCACCGCCTCTTCTCCCAAGGCCCTGCCTCCTGCTCTGCCTCTTCCCTGGCTCGCTCCTCTTCCTTCCCTCCTCCCCCTGTCTTTCACTGCTCTTCCTCCTCTCCCTTCCTCCTTGCTGGATCTTCTTCACCTCCCTCCTCCCCCAGCTGGGCTCCTTCTGCTCTGGGTGCTGCTGCAGCCTGACTCAGAGCCTGCTTCCTGCCTGCCCAGGAGATGCAGGTATGAGGTGGCCCCAGCTGAGCAGGGATAGTGCTGGTTTATGACCTGTTGCCTTTCCTCCCACCCCAGTAACCAATTTTTTGGTATCCAGCCGGTACCTCTGACCGGATACTGCCAGGTTCCCTTTTCAACTGGAGTTTCTTGTGGAAAATTGGATACCTGGCAACCATAGATTGTTTAGCACAAGTAGTTTAGCACATATTCTAAGGGACCGTTCAGGGTAGAGTGGTCCTTAACACCTCTGGAGTCATAGGAAAAAAAGGAGGGGGAGGGTTATGGGTTACAGACATTTGTAATAAGCCCTAAATCCATTGCGTCTGTTCAGTCCATGAATTTTAGTGTCTAGCAGAATTATGAAATTTAGCTCCCAGGCTCGTCTTTTGAAAACCTCAAAGGAAACTGTCACAACACTTTAAAAAATGAGCCGGGGAGAGAGGGGAGGCTGAAGCACAGCGCCCACCCCCAGAACGCTGCAGCTGAAACCCACTTCTGGAGTCCTGCAGCTGAAGCGAGGGGGCCTAAAGCCCACCCCCAGAGCCCCACAGCTGAAGCCGGAGGCGATGGGGCGGGTGAAGCCTGGAGCCTCTGGCTGAACCAGGGTAGGGGGCTGAAGCCCACCCCTGTAGTCCTGCAGCTGAAGATGGGGGGCTAAAGCCCTACACCAGAGTTCCTGAGGATTGCAGAGAGGGACCACTGCTTTGCCCCTTCCCCCATCTCAGCCCAGGAGGCTGTCGTGGCTACAGAAAAACCTCCTGGTGGCCACATGCAGCCATGGTGGCTGCATTTGAGAAACACATCTGTTCCACTCTGCATTTAGCTGTGGTGCTCGGAGTATCTTTCCCAGACCTGAAGAAGAGCTCTGTGTGGCTTGAAAGTTCTCTCTCTCTCTCTCTAGCAGAAGTTGGGCTATGTCTACAGGGCACTTTTGTCAGTCAGAGGTGTGAAAAAACCACACCCCTGACCGACAAAAGTTTTACCAACGAAAAGTGCCAGTTTGGACAGCACTTTATCGGCAGGAGACGCTCTCCCTCCAGCAAAACTACAGCCCCTCACTGGAGTTTTATTTTGTCGGCAGGAGAGAGCTCTCCTGCCGACAAAGACCAGCTACATTACATACTTTACAATGGCACAGCTGTCCCGCTGTAAGGTGTGCAGTATAGACATAGCCTTAGTCCAATACACCTTGTCTCTTTAATATCCTGGGACCAACACGAAAACAATTACACTGCATAAAACATATTAGATTGGCAGGCAACCCCAAAACTGTTAATTCTGCAGCTTCTATCGTGAAAAGTTTTAGGTGCTCCACAGGACTGAAGCTCATTCCCTGTGGAGCTGCTTAGAAGTTGTGCCCTACTGAACTGCACAAGAGCTCTGATCTTGTGACGCTTCATTCATTTTGGAATTTCACCAGGTAACATACAGGATAATCAAGGATTGAAGTTAACTGGGATAGGGCCAATTGAGATCAAACCGTGCAAAACAGTGACGCTATGAGTCTCTTCCATGTTGACGCTAGTGAAGTTCTCATATTGGAAAGTGAGGGCAATGGGGCAGAGTTCTGTTTTGAATTGGAACCTTAAGAATTTCCAGACTACCTGACATATGATTTTAGAACTATCAGCGAAGTATTAATTTTAATTTTTCAAACATTTATTTTTAACATCAAATCCAAATTTTCTGACTTTCAAACAATTGTGTGTTTAACTACAACATTCTAATTATGTTTCAAATTAATGACTGTATTCAAAAACAACTACCTAAATGCAGTTTTTGGCATAGAAATAGATTTATGTTTAATGATGCCTACATATAAAGGGATTGTGTAGCTTTAATTCATGTTTGTAAAAGTACATGGAGATCTTTGGATTAAAGCTACTATAATTTCAAAGTGTTACTTGTAGAGTTCTTTGAGTTCCTATCGCCCACAGGTGAACCCTTCTTTTAGATCTAATGTGCCAGCACATTTGTATGAAATAGATTTGGAAATACAATGAAAAATTATCTGTTTTTATTTAAATTTGCATATAAATTTGTTTAACCACTGCAACAAGTAAAAGATGCACAGTATATTTCTTTCATGTACTGAGCTCTTCCACCCTATTATTTTTGAGTGTCATTTGCTGAAATTGTTTCTCGCCACCATAGCAACAAGAGGGAAAGTGTTGTGTCTGCTAGCATCTGTGATGAGTTTAAAAACACAGTCTTGTCAGTTCCGTTGTTAAACATTTATATAGAAATAAAGGGTCACTTGTAAATATTTCTACAATGACAACTGATTCTTCCTTTCAGAAGCCTCGGATCCAGGTTTACGAATAACACAGGGTTTGGGGAGACTTCTGTCTTTTATAGAAAAAAATTATTTTTAGGTTTTTCTATTTTTTTTAACTTCTGTGTCACTCAAATACTTAAATGAACATATTTGAAAGGTTTTTTTAGATACTATAAACATTACACTTTAATTTCAATCTTTGAATGAATCCACTTAACTTTTTAAAATAGACACAAATGACAAGAACATCAAGGTGGTTCTTCTGTCTGTTGGGAAACCATGTGAAAGCTACAGAACTGTCTTAAAACCTAGAGGAAAAGTAGAATGGGTGGAGTCATTTGATTGGAGAAAAAGCCATGGTTAATGAGTGGAATTAACTGTCACAGGATATTGAAGAGAGAAATGAGGGGAGTTGTGATGTTTATAGGGGACTTGGTTCACTAGCTTCTTGAAAGTTCAAGAGGGTGTGCAGGACATGTGATAATGTCTTATTTTTCAGACTTCAGTGTGTCTGAAGATAGTTGTTTCTCAGTCTAACCAGTAAATATTAAAGCTACTGATTAATACTGCAAAAGAGACTTTAGTGATTGGCAGATTTCACAGTGAGAATTTATCTGATTTAATGTGCCTAAAGTTAGTGGTAGGAAATAAATAGTAGAATGGGTGAAACAATGAAAAGTTGTTTTAAAATAAAATGTAAATGTTATCTAGCATTGGTCCGCAGTGACAGAGAATCTCAAAAAAGTGAAGAAAATTTAATTTACTTATTCTTTTCTAGATCAAATATGCCACTGCATAAAATGCCATTTCAGTGGAAGAGCAGAACACACAGGATCCTATGTGACTTTTTTCATGGGATTAGTCATAAAGGCATGGTAATAACTTAAATCCATATTCCAGGCTTTCCTGGAGCGCATAATCTGTTTCATTCAGAAGTAACTGTTCTTTGAAAAATATTCCTACTTAATGCAATTGATTCTACATCTGAAAACAAAACCACAGGCTATTGTGTCCAGCTTGCTGAAGATACCATTCAAGAACGCTGAGAAAATTATGTCAAGTTCTTTACCATTTGCTCAGACAACAAAAATAAAACAAACCCACCAAAAATGGAATTTAAGTGCAATTATATTAACATTCTGAGGTGTTGGTGTTTGGTATACTCTGTAAACCTTTTTGAAAAAGAGGTAATACCTAACAGTCTTGGAGCACATTGCAGAAGTTCAAAATTTCTTCCAGAACCACCATCAGACTTACAGTTGGTTTACTGACAAGGGAGCATTGATACTCCAGATTTCCAAAGACTGTGTGCCGGCATTTGCATTCAGCTACTTTAAATATGCTGAAATTTGCACTGAGCACAGGAGGATTTTGAGCAAAATAATACCATGCATTTTCCATGCTCTGGACAGGCATTAAAATTACCAGCAATTTAAGGAGGTTTTAGAGGGACTAGAGAAATTACAAACAGATCATGCTAAAGTCACAGTCTCTAGAAATTTGGCTTGATCTAATTAGAAAGAACTAGCACAAAGAGAAAAATCAAAATATGATTTAAAGAAGCTATAGGACCTTTTTGCTGATTGATCCCAAATATAAACGTCAAAGGCAAGAATAGGAGCAAGAGGCTGAAATGATGTTGGTGCCACGTGAATCTGAGTTCTAGTATTTAAAATTGGAGATCCAGATTTGTAACCCAAATCTGGTTGTGCCACAGTTTGTTGTACCAAAACTGGGGAGAACTGTAAACGTAAAATTACAGAAAACAGAATACTCCAGAATGTTAATTTTAACAAGACCTACATTCCTGCCCAGTTAGTTTACAATTAACTGAGCATAGTTTTAATACATTCAGATTGTTTCACAAAAGCTTCATAGGAGGCTTAAATCTAAAAATGCAAATAATTTGATATAAGTGTATTAGTGTCTATGGGAACAAACAAGAGTATGGGTCTCTAGTTAGTGGAGTGGGCTCTTCGGTGCTGTGTTCATTTTTCAGAATCAGAAGCATAAATTTTGACAATATTTGATTTTTTTTTGTTTTTGTTTCAGGAATCACTGCTTATAAACTAAGGCTTTGTCTACACGAGCACTTTTGTTGGCAAAACTTTTGTTGCTCAGGGGTGTGAAAAAAACACTCTGGTAAGTGATCTTTTTGAGTTGATGCTGCTTGGTTACATGAGGTAGAGCTGTCCTTTGCTTTGTATATTCTAGAAGTGGGTGAAGGAATAAAAATATACAAGACTAGCTGTGTTTGAGTGTGCTCCACATTCCCATGTACAGCTAAGCAGTGCCATTATTCACACCAAGATTTCACAGGAATCCTCCAGAGAGATCTCTAGGAAACTTTCCTGGAGGTATTTGCCAATCCTCTGCTGAAGGTTCATTGGTAGAGCTGCTTTGTCCCTTCTCCCATTGTAGAAAATTTTCTTATGCAACTCGACAATCACTTGTGTGGGGACCAAAGCGCACACAGGAAAGCAGCCTAGGGACCGGGTCTGAAGCTGCACGTGTACAGGAGATGCACCCAGGAGTAGATATCAGCTTCAGTAACACCTGCCTGTGTAAATGGTGGCAGAATTTACTATATTGTTCCTAGTTGCCTGCACCAATCCCCTGCCCCATCTTGAACAACCAAAACCCCACCCATGCCGAACTCACCATGTTTAGGGTGTTCACTGAGATGTGTGCTTGCCAAGGGACAATGAGAAAGCGATTGATATGTTAAAAGAGGTGCATTTTACCATAATGATTCAATGCTGCATGTGAACTAGCAGTCATGCTTCTGTGTATTGTTGCTTATGCTCCTGCGGATGTGGCCTTCAGAGGAAACCCCTACACCAGCGGAGTGCTTCCGCTAGATAAGGAAGCGATGAAGGCAGAGCAAGCAGGACATGTTCCAAAAGGTGCTCCAATCCTCAAAGGGTGAAAAAAGAGAACGGAGGGAGTGGAGAGAGACCCTGAAGGACAAATTTAAAATAGAAAGGCAAGACAGAAAGGAGAGTGATGGAGCGCATTGTAAAGGGCCAGAAGCAGATGATAATGGAGCAAACAGAGATGTTGAAGTCCCCAATCATGCTCCAGGAAGAACACATGCATGCTCATCCCTCACCCCACTCCCCAGCAGCCAATAAGAACTCCTTTCCATGCCCTCCCCAACTCCTCTCACACATTCTTTGCAACTTCCCGGAATGTCTCAGTACCCTGTTCACTCCACTCCTTTGGACAGCTTCCATAATGATAGTTGGATTTACACACAGCTATGACAGCCTGCACTGTTATCTCCCTTCTCACCAAGCCTTTTGTGAGTGTAAATTGGTATTTAATAAAAACAAACAATCTTTGTTTGTCTCCTACATGTGGTGGTTGCTGCTGGTAGTAATACATAGTGGCAATTTGACCATTTGCTGACTACAAATCCTGGTCAGGACTCATAATAATTTTTATGCAAGATGCATGTTAACAAAACATGGCAGAGTGCTGTATAGAAGGACATTACTGGTGCTCATTGTCAAAATGTTGCCTCAAAGCCTCCCTGATTCGAATAGCCCTCTGTTGTGCCCCTCTAATCGCCCTGGTATCTGTCTGCTCAAATTCAGAAGCTGGGTAATCTGCCTCGGCGCTTCACTCTGGGGTAAACTTTTCACCCTTAACCTCACAAATATTATGGAGCATGCAGCAGGCTGCTGTGACTATGGGAATGTTTTCCTCATTTAGGTCTAACCTGCCGTAAACGCAGCATCAGCATGCTTTTAATCTGCCAAAGGCACATTCTATGGTAATTCTGCATCTGCTCAGCCTATTGTTGAAGTGCTCCTTGCTGCTGTCCAGGTTTCCTGTGTAAGGCTTCATGAGCCATGGTAGTAAGGGGTACACTGAGTCTCCCAAGATCACTATGGGCATTTCAACATTCCTCACTGGAATCTTCTGGTATAGAAAGAAAGTCCCTTCTTGGAGCTTTCTGTACAGATCCGTGTTCCTGAAGATACGTGTGTCATGGACTTTCCTGGACCACCCTGCGTTGATGTCTGTGAAATGCCCATGGTGATCCACAAGCACCTGCAATACCATAGAGAAGACGCACCCCTTTCTATTGATGTACTCCATCGCAAGATGGTCTGGGGCCAAAACAGGAATATATATTCCATCTATCACTCCTCCGCAGTTAGGGAATCCCATTGTTGCAAAGCCATCCACTATTTCAAGCACATTGCCAAGAGTTACAGTTCTTCATAGCAGGATGCGATTAATGGCCCTGGACACTTGCATTAATGCAGCCCCAAGTGTAGACTTCCTGACTCTAAACTGATTTGCAGCCAACCGGTAGCAGTCTGGAGTTGCCAGCTTCTACACAGCGATTGCCGCGTGCTTCTCCACCAAGAGGGCAGCTCTCATTTTGGTGTCCTTGCGCTGCAGTGCTGGGTGAGCTCTGCATTCAATTCCAGGAAGGTGGCTTTCTGCATCTGAAAGTTCTGAGCCACTGCTCATCATCTGAGACCGGCATAATGATGCGATCCCACCACTCAGTGCTTGCTTCCCAAGGCCAAAAGCAATGGTCCACCATGTTCAGCTGCTCCGTGAATGCCAAAAGTAATCTGGTGTTGTTTCTTTCCAGGTCAGGCAACTCTGATTCCTGTTCAGATTGGGAGCTCATGATGTAATGCATGACCATCTGTGATGTATTCATAAAAGTGACTACAACAGTAGAGGGCAGTATGGGATCTATCGGTGGGAGACAGTGGGCGCACAGTAAACAGGAGCTGTTGAAAAATATCAGAAAATGCAGTTAAAAGCCCATGGAGTGCTAGGACAGAAAGAACTGTACCATGGGACTTTGAGCCCACACACGATGCACTGCAATCCACTCCACCTTCCCACAACTTCTAGCTGCAGTAGAGTAGCATTGAGTAGCAGCGTGGGATAGCTACCCACAGTGCACTGCTCTCATTGTTGATGCTAGAGCACCACATGTGGATGTGCTCTGCCAACAGAAGGAGCATAGTGAGAAAATGCACAAGCAATGTATTTATACTGGTTTTTGATTGTCGACTTAACTTGCGTTGACAAAACTCTGTAGTGCAGAGAAGGCCATATCCTAAGTCACCTACTACCTTGTTCTTTTTCTCCCTAGCTGGAAAAATAAAGGGATTTCTCATGCTGAAGAAAGTCACCAATGCTCCTCCGCGCTCTCATGGGCAGTTTGTGATAGACATTTTAGCTCTGAATTTCTGTGGCTGTATGAAACTCACTATGAATATTGCATTGTACTGGCATCGTATTCTAGTTGAAGGAAAGCGGGCAGTGCTCTTCTACGCCCTCTGCTTAAAGTATCTTATTCTGTTGTCTAAACAAAAGCAGGGGACGTGCCGGTGAGGTAAGCACATGAAATTGGTCCCTAGAGTTGGCACAGTGCGGTTATAAATCATAGGTTTCAGAGTAGCAGCCGTGTTAGTCTGTATCCGCAAAAAGAACAGGAGGACTTGTGGCACCCTAGAGACTAACCAATTTATTTGAGCATAAGCTTTCGTGAGCTACAGCTCACTGCATGCATCCGAGGAAGTGAGCTGTAGCTCACGAAAGCTTATGCTCAAATAAATTGGTCGGTCTCTAAAGTGCCACAAGTCCTCCTGTTCTTGAAATCAATCCTAGGGGCTGCAAAATGGAAAAAGCTCCGGGCGGGGTTTCGGTGACAGCAGACGTGGATGCCCGGGGCAAACGCAGCCCCACAGCGGGCTGGCTGCGGATGGATAAAGAACGTCCTGAGTGCGGAGATGAAGCTAGGGTGTCAAGGTTCCTCCCCCACTCTGAACTCTAGGGTACAGATGTGGGGACCTACATGAAAAACCTCCTAAGCTTATCTTTACCAGCTTAGGTCAAAACTTCCCCAAGGTACAAAATATTCCACCCCTTGTCCTTGGACTGGCCGCTACCACCACCATACTAATACTGGTTACTGGGGAAGAGCTGTTTGGACGCGTCCTTCCCCCCAAAATACTTCCCAAAACCTTGCACCCCACTTCCTGGACAAGGTTTGGTAAAAAGCCTCACCAATTTGCCTAGGTGACTACAGACCCAGACCCTTGGATCTTAAGAACAATGAACAATCCTCCCAACACTTGCACCCCCCCCCTTTCCTGGGAAATGTTGGATAAAAAGCCTCACCAATTTGCATAGGTGACCACAGACCCAAACCCTTGGATCTAAGAACAATGAAAAAGCATTCAGTTTTCTTACAAGAAGACTTTTAATAAAAACAGAAGTAAATAGAAATGAAGAAATCCCCCCTGTAAAATCAGGATGGTAGATATCTTACAGGGTAATTAGCTTCAAAAACATAGAGAACCCCTCCAGGCAAAACCTTAAGTTACAAAAAAGATACACAGACAGAAATAGTTATTCTATTCAGCACAATTCTTTTCTCAGCCATTTAAAGAAATCATAATCTAACACATACCTAGCTAGATTACTTACTAAAAGTTCTAAGACTCCATTCCTGGTCTATCCCCGACAAAGACCAGCATACAGACAGACTATAGACAGACCCTTTGTTTCTCTCCCTCCTCCCAGCTTTTGAAAGTATCTTGTCTCCTCATTGGTCATTTTGGTCAGGTGCCAGCGAGGTTACCTTTAGCTTCTTAACCCTTTACAGGTGAGAGGAGCTTTCCCCTGGCCAGGAGGGATTTCAAAGGGGTTTACCCTTCCCTTTATATTTATGACATAGGGCCTGATACAAACACTAACGTGAGCATCGACAGGCCTCTACGCTTCCCCCCCAGCGGGCTCCCCGATCGGCCAGCGCGGACGGACGGGAGGACGTAAGCCCGTGGCACCGGACTGGCTGCCCAGGAGCGCTGCCGGCGCCGGGCCGCTAGTCAACGGGCAGCGCGCCTGAGTCGCGGCCAGGGTAGCCCCGGCCCCAGTCCCGCCGGGCAGGGTGAGGGGGGCGCGCTCCGCTCAGCCGCCGGCCCGGCTACATCGGACTTGAGGGGCGCGGCGGGCGGCGCTGCCTTGCCCCTGCCGGAAACCAGGTCGCCCGGAACTGTCGGTCGCGGCTGCGTCCGCGCCACGCCCAGCGGCGGCCGCCCGCCAAGATGGCGGAGTACGTGCGGGTGCTGAGGCGGGCGCTGCAGCAGCTCGGGGGTCATGGCGGCCTCCGCGGCGCCCTCTGGCAGCTGCTCAGGTACGAAGCGCCCTTTCCTCCCCTCTCCCCCTTCCCCGTGTCTGGGGCCGGCTAGTGACACCCCCGGGAACGGGAGTGACCTTGGGGCAGGGAGCCCTCGACCTCTGGTGCCCGGGGAGCGGGGCTGTCCCAGCCCTACGGGGGGACTGGAGCGTCCCCGGGCTGCGGGGGGGCTCGTCTGTCTGGGGAGGTGCCTGCTGGGCTGGAGGCCGGGGGGTTACTCGCTTTGGCTTCAGGCGCTCCCCGCCCCCAGGGAGCCCCGTGGAGTGGGGTTTGGGGGCTTGTTATCGAGCAGCCTTGAAGTACCTTCTTCCCCCCTCCCTTAGCCTGGGCGAGTAACTCCTTTGGACTGGTAAATGAACTATCCTGGTAAGGAAGGGTAAGCGAGGTCTGTGTTGGCGCTGCTTTGTGGTGCTTCCTGCCTTGAGTGCCCTATTTTCCTGCTTAGGTGACTACTGAGGTCCCTTCCAGTCCTACACTTCTTTGGCTATATCTAAGCAACAGCTTATGTTGTCATAACTTATGTTGCCCAGGGGGATGAATAAATCATCCCCCCCCCCCCCCCGAGTGACATATGCTATACCGACATAAGCACCGGTGTGGACATAGCCATAGAAGTGTAGGACTGGAAGGGGCCTCAATAGGTCCTCGAGGCAGGAAAACAGGGCACTCAAGGCATACTCTTGTAAGCTTCAAGATAGGGTCCATTAGAGTCAATTGTTTTCTGTTGGGCATAACCGAGAACATTTTCTTTCTTCATGTGACTTCATAGAGCGCACTGCTGTAAGAGTTGCCACAGCACCTTTTAAACAGTAGTTGATAGATAGCAAGTGTGCACGATTCCCTTGAACCCAACATTTCACAGACCAAGGCTATAAAATACTTTGAAACAATTTTTAAAAGGCCTAACAGACATTCCCAAGTGGGAGCCTACTGATTTTCACAACTTGAATTTGGTAACAAATCTAATAGGAAGTTCCTGTTAGCCCTTGGGGTCTTGCTTTCTGTAGCACCTCTTAACACTACTCATTTCTGGTAGCCATTACCACAGCCAACATGATCAGAGAAAGGGTTCGGACAGCCAAGCTACCTTATACAATATTCCATAATGTTCAGGCCTCCAGCTTTCTGACTTGAATTGTATTTTTCTTAAAGGTTATCACTGTCTTCCTTCAAAAGCCCCAGAGCCTTAAACATCCTAGGTGTTTTTAGCTACTATTAAGACAAGACTAAGCTGTTTAGAAAGGCCAGAAATGATTTGTGGCTTTTGGAGACGTCTGTATGTCCAGCCATTTCAGCTCAAAGATGAAGTGGAGAAATGATGCATTCGCTGCTGAGTACCTATATGGTGTTTTTGTGCCTGAATATCTTAGGACTCCTTCAGCTAGGGGAATGACAGTCAATGGCATGCATCTGAAATGTCCCTTTATCTAAATCTGTTGGCCTCCTATGTGGGGTTTGGTTCCTATCTTCATGGATCATTATTTTCTTGATATTGCACCAAGAGCACAGTAATTGCTGTTGAACTAGTACGGGTCATCAGGGAAGGTGTGAGGATCTGTGGGGCTAGAACTTGGGACTGTTGGTCCCTGAGTGACAGCTGCATCCAGTCAATGGGCTGTGAGGCTTGTGGGGCCAAGCTCCACTAGATGTCATGCCCACAGATGTTCCCTGATTCGCTCAGGTGTGCTATTCAAGGTCTTGAGGAAACACCTGCAGGCTATCTGTTCAACTAGGCAGATCCATGTTTTGCTTCTGCAAATGGACCCTGCTGTGCATTCCTGATACCTTACCTTACTCCTGGTTTTTGGCCCCAGCCCTGATCCTGAAACCTGGTCCTGCTTTTGATTCCTGGTCCCCTGCTCTGCTCCTGACTCCTTGCCCTGACTCTGTTCCATTAACCCTATTTCAGCTGACTCACTTGGCTCCGACCAGTGCAGCTCATTGACCTCAACTCCAACCTGATCCTATGGTGTGACACTGGAACAGCTTGTTGTTTTTTGCCTTGATCCTCTAGACTGAATTTGGACCATGTTCCCTCTATCCCAGGCCCCGGCCTTGACCCGTGTCCTGTAGCTGGGGTCCTGACAGATGGTCACTGTTAGCTGGTGATCTATAGCAGGGCTCTGTGGAGGCAATGCCATGAATGAGAAAATTGGATGATTTGCCCTCACTGAGCTACTGTGATGCTCCTCCTCCCTTCCTCTTTCTGGAAACAATCTTTAAATACGGATTCTGGAGGTGGAGAGGAACTAAGTCAATTAAAAGGGGTACCCCATAATTGCAGACTGTTGCTCTAAAAATGTTGCAAGGATGCCTGGCTGTGCCCTCCACTTCTACAGTGTTGTCTCCATGGACGCAGTATATTCAGTGAACAGGGAAGTTGTGGAGATAGTCTTTTTGAGTTAAAGGTGAAAAGTATTGGAAAATTACTTCTAAGCTCCATGTTACCTAAAATAGATTTTCCGTGCAGTGACAGAGGTAATTATCTTCAGAGTAAAATAATCATGCTTGTTTCAAAGTATTATGAATCTTGTTTGAATGTTCATGAAGGGCTTTGAGAACTTCATCTGAAAGGCACTATATTCTTTATTAGTATTTGTATGTTAATCTTGTTTTTAATAGGATCAGTTTCAGAATCCATTCTTATTGACAAAATGTATTTCAAACTGTAGTTTTCCTATAATATTTTTCATTATTGAAAATAACACATGCTGGGTACTATCAGTATACTAATAAGGACCTGGATTGGATCATATAAATGGACTAAAATTAGAGGAGAGCATACAGTGTTTTCCTGATACAGGATGAGGAAACTTGTAACTGTTTTCTTTCATTATACTACCAACTTTGTATCTTTGCTGGGTTTCATATGATTCATAGATTTTTATGACCAGAAGGGACCTTTAAATCATCTAGTGTTTCCTTCTTTGTAACACTGGTGATAGAATTTCATCCAGTTACTCCTCTATTGAGCCCAATAGTTTGTGTTTGACTAAAGTGTATCTTTCAGAAAGGCATCCAGGCAAACGTTAGGAGATAGAGAATCCACCACTTCCTTCAGCCAATGATTAATCAACCTCACTGTTAAAAATTTGTGCCTTACTTATAATTTGAATTTGTCTGGCTTCAGCTTCCAGCCGTCAGTTCTTGCTGTGCCTTACTCTGCTAGATTAAAGAGGGCTTTAGTACGGTGAAGGTAACTGTACTCCATAATTAAGTAACCCCTTGATCATCTTCTTGGTAAACTAAGTAGATTGAGCTTGTGGAGAATGTGGTGAATTAATGTTATTTTACATATGGGGTTGTGCAAAGTAAAACCTGTGGTTGGACATGAGATGGGGTCTTAACATCTTAGGACTCCCTGTAAAGATCCATTTGGATACCAGGAGCCATCCAGTAGAAGGAGAGTTGGGGCTTGCCAGCTAAAAGAGTGGTTTTCTGGGACCTAGCTGAAGGTGCCAGGAATGGATTCTCAGGATACCAGACAGTAGTTCATCAGGGACTGTAGGCGTCCAGGCTATCAGGAAGGTGGAATTGAGACCAAATTCAGAGGACGTAGGATCCAACAGTTTCTGAGAAAGAAATCTGAACTTGGATCTGTAGTAAGACTTTCCTGTGCTTGAGAGAGTAAAAGGGAACCTCTAGATGAACAGCGAATGAGTTCCTTCGTGAGCTTAATTAGAAGTAACACAGTAAGAGTTTGCTAACCAAGTTTGGAGTGGAGCTGTAGTGACTGGTTTTTCCTGCAGTGGCCTTCAAAGAGCACCTAGGGACAGAGTCCTTGCAGTAAGGAAGCAGAGCGAGGGAGCCTTCCAAGTGCAAAGGCTGGTGATGGCAGCAGTTATAGATTCCAAGGCCAGAAGAGACCATTATGATGATGTAGTCTGACCTCCTGTGTAACACGGGCCATAGAACTTCCACAAAATAATTCCTAGAGCAGATCTTTTAGAAAAACATTCAATCTTGATTTAAAAATTGTCATTATAGAGAGTCCATCATGACCCTTGGTAAATTGTTCCAATGATTAATTACTCTCCCTGCTAAACATTTACATCTTATTTCCAATCTAAATTTTTTCTAGCTTCAACTTCCAGCCGCTGGATCATGTTACACCTTTCTCTGCTAGGTTGAAAACTCCATTATTAAATATTTGTTCCCCATGTAGATACTGATAGATGGTAATCAAGTTATCCCTTAACCTTCTTTGTTAAGCTTAATAGATTGAGCTCTTTGAGTTTATCACCATAAAACATGTTTTCTAACCCTTTAATCATTCTTGTATACTTCTCTGAACCCTCTCCAATTTATCAACATCCTTCTAGAATTCTGGGCACCAGAACTGGACACAGTATCCCGGCAGTGCCAAATATAGAGGGAGCACCTTAGCTCTTTTGGCCACAACATCACACTGGGAGCTCAGTTCAGTTTATTGTCCACCATGACCTCCAATTCTCTTTCAGAGTCCTTGCTTCTCAGCTTAGAGTCCCCCATCATATAAGTATGGCCTACATTCTTTGTTCCTAGATGTATACATTTATATTTAGCTGTATTAAAACACACATTATTTCCCTAAACCCAGTTTACCAAGTAATCCAGATTGCTGTGAATCAGTGAGTTGTCCTCTTCATTATTTACCACTCCTCCAATTTTTGTGTTTTCTGCAAACTTTATCTGTGGTGACTTTTTCTTCCCATGTTATTTTAAAATAGTGTAGGACCAAGGACCGATCCCTCCCAGACCCGCTGGAAATACATCTGGTTGATGATGATTCCCCATTTGTAATCACATTTTGAGACCTATCAGTTAGCCAGTTTTTATCATGCTGCACATTAAATGGATTCATTTTATATCATTCTAGTTTTGTAATCAAAATGTTGGGCGGTACCAAGTCAAAGTATATTATGTCAACACTATTACCTCTTCTACCAAACTTGTAATCTCATTTAAAAAAAAAATCATTTAGTTTGATAGGATTTATTTTCCATAAACCCATGTTG